CAAATTAAAACAGCATTGAGATTTCATCTCACTCTGGAAAGAATAGCTGTCATCAAGAAAACAACCGATAACAAATGTTGGTGAGGCTGCGGGGAAAAAGGAACCCTGCTCTACTATTGGAGACTGGTACAGCCACTATGGAAATCACTATGGAGATTTCTCAGAAGACTAGGATTGGAAGTTCCATGCAACCCAGCTGTTCCCCTCTTGGTATTTTCCCAGAAAACCTGAAAAGGTCATGTCACAGTGATATATTTGCACCCATGTTCATAGCAGCGCAATTTGTAATAGCTAAATCTTGGAAACAACAAAAATGCCCATTAACTGCAGAGTGGATGAAAAAGATATAGTATTTTTATACAATGGAATATTACTCAGCTATAAAAAGGATGATCTTGAGGCCTTCATAGGTAAATAGAGATAACTTGAGACTATCCTCATAAGTGAAATAAATAAGAATCATATTTATAAATATCACATTGTGTCTGTAGTGTAAAAAGTAGTAAGAACTGTAGGAATAATAAAACCCAAAATGTATAATTGCTCTTGTAAAAAAGAGAGGAAAGGAAAGTGCTCTAAAGGATGTAACTGCATGTATGTTTAAGTGTGTAGGATTGATAACCATATTACTAAGTTTTTGCTGGATCATTGAGCAGAACTGTTCATAGTCTCACTGTTTGAATGTCCACTTTGTATGCTTTAACTTTGTCACTTGAACAACTGTTTCTAAGATGACAGCATGTAATTGATCAACTAGTGAGTTCTTACTGTTTATTTTTTTGAAATTCTGTATTACTACTCCCCTTTTTCTGTTTTGCTTTTTATCCTCTTTAAAATTAAAAAATAAAAACAGCTAAAGAAAAAAATTTACATACATATATGTTTGTGATATAATGACAATAGTTTAGTTTTCAAGTTTTGCACTGCTAGAGTACTTAAGCCATACCTTAGTTTATTGCATTTTACTGGGAGGCTGGGGATTTTTTTAAAAGTGAAATCTGTTATACACCATATTAGAGCAAGCATCATGTCCTGCAGAAGTTTGACAGTATTTGTGCTATGCTAGTCTCTTCTCTGCTGCATATGACAGAATTCAAATATTATTTAATATTTTCTAATGAAAATCTTTTACATCTTGAGTTTGTAATTTAAACTGTCATGTCAAATATGTCTCAAATTAGACAGTTGTCTGTTTCAGCTTGTTTGCCCTACAGATCAGTAGATTCAGAACCAGTACAGATTACTCTGATAGGGAGCAATTGAAATTTAATTAATGAAAACATTAAAACTTAAAAATGACACGAGGATTAACGTGCTCATATGCAGGTGAATAATGTTAGTTTGCTTCAGTTACTGCTTAAGAGAAGACAGAATATAGAAGGTATGAGGGTTCCTAGAATTTAGTTTGAAGGCAATATAGCTTCACTTCAGTATTTTACACATAATGTTGCTTAGCTTTTGTTCTTATTATTTGTGTTGGCACTTTCTGCTTTGTAATGATACCTGCTCACAGAATGGCATCAGTTGGAAAAATAGGATTTATAGGATGTGTTTATAGTTTGTCTCAGACCGCAGTTATTTCTTTACCTCTGAAGATGATTATATTAATAGAAACATTATTAATCTTTCATCACAAGGCACAAGGTATAGAGATAAAGGCTTAATGTTCAAATGAGATGAGGTCCTACTTTTTCACATTAAAAAACTTTATGTCTGTTGTGCTTTCTACAAGTAGAACCCAAATCTTTGTGCTGTTATGTGGTGTTCAATATGACAGAGCTTAATGACTTACATAGTTGAAAACATAATTCATTCCTATTTTCTTACAAGTTCCATTAGAATTTCTTTGAACACTAATGGCTAGGCCATTTAAAAGTGCCTTACAACTATTACTGTCTAATACATGTTACTGGCTTTTTAATTTCTTGACTAGTTTTTCCTAAGAGTTTTCAAATAGAATTTAGCTCAAAATGAACATATTATGACATACTGAAAAAAATTTAATGTGGCAAGATTGTTAAGCTTGCTAAAATTGAATAGTAATTGGAAAACATAAAATCTTTACATCCAAATATAGTACTTTGAGTTGCATATGTTAATATTATCTTTAATTCAACATACACGCGGACTCAAGCTCTCTTCTGTTCTCCCCATCTTATGCCAAGTACAAAAGTACAGCTGCGGACTTTCAGAGGGGGAGAGGAAAGTCATAGGTGAAGACAGCTGGATCATGGACTTGTACTTTGTGACTTCATATTTTCATTCTTTTGCTACTGAGGAAAGATTAAATAAGCTTATTTCAAAAGAACAGCTGACACTGACTTTACAAAGTCAGTAATTACGTCAGTCACTATAATTCTTTGGAGTTGGTAGATTTTCTTTCACACGTATATGGCAGAGGGCCAGTTTGTAGGGCAGGCAAGAAGTGGGTGAATATAGGTTGGATATATGCCAAATGTGTACACTAAACCCTGTCAGCCCAGCTCAGTCCTTTTTCTTGAACTGTATTAGCCAGTGGATCCTTCTTTGAAGTCGGGTAACTTAGCTAACATAAATGTGTTCTAGTGTGAGTAGTGAGCCTTTTTGTGTTTAAAACTGACGGTACTCTTATTTACCACAGGCTTCTTTACTCCAGTGTCTGGAGATTTATATTTTTATTTTTGAATTGTAGGGCAAGGAAATGACAGGAGATCTCTCCTTATTGGTACCATGTTGTTACTGCCCATAAAGGAGAATCTAGCTGTTTCTTTTCTTTGTGTCATTTTTTGGGTGTACACAATACCAGATAGTTCAGGCAGGTGCTGTCTTGCCTCAGCTTCCAGAGTGCTGGGATTTCAGACATGCAGTATTACTAGCTGGCTTAACATTTTCAAGTTCTTGACAGAAAATGTGCTGTGTTCTGATATAATGTACCTTCGTACATTATACACTAAAGAGCAGTGGAGGCCTGCGTGTTCCAGATTGCATACATTTCTTTCTGAATCACTTATACTGTATGTCTTTCTTATTAAAGAAAAATCAAAGAAGTTGGCTACTGTGTACCAACAGAAAACTCTTCAGGTTGGAGATATTTCTGGGGACTTAGAAATGACTTGAACCTTTTTTTTTTTTTTTTTTTTTTTTTTTTGATTATTTCTGCATGGGCTCATTGTGCTACTGGGAAATTGGACACCTTAAGTAGTCCTCATTATTTAAATCTGTATTTTTCAAAGCACAGGGTGGGCCGTAGCAACACTTTTTATGCAGTATGATTAGTAAGTTTTAAAATCATATAGATTGTGACCAATGCTTTTTTCTTTAATGAAATAGGACAGAATGAAATGCAGTTCTGTGACTGGTTCTCCAGAGCAGCAGCGCTGGCATTGCCTTTTGGAAATACAGAATTTGCTCTATTAGAGTATTCATTTATCTGCACTGTAACAAAAGTATAACATGGAAATAGAATGTAATAAAGTTTATTACATATAAAAAGCATTCATTGTTCATTTACCAACATTTTTGTTTTAGCCTTGTGTGTATTCATGTACATACCAGCTTAAACCTTAAAATGTTTTTCTATGAGTGACAGTCAAATTTTAAATCCACTATTTTAAGTATGAACAATGGTGTCGTATTTGTGGTTGTATTTTTATTTAAGAGCAAGTGTGTGTGTGCGTGTGTGTGTGTCTGCATGCACACACGTAGTTTCGGAGCTTGAACTCAGAGCCTTATACATGCTAGGCAGGTGCTGTACCACTGATGTACATCCTCAGCCCCTGGTTGTGCTGTGACCATTAACTGTGAGAGAGCGGTGCTTGCTTTGCTTTGATATCGTCTTTAGAGTATTCTTTGCAGTATCTCACTTTTCCTTCTATCTTGCTTGCCTTTTTTTTTTTTTTTTTGTATCAGGGATCGAACTCACAGCCTAGCACTTGCCAGGCAGGCGCTCATGCCATTGAGCTAAATCCCTGGCCCTGTTGCTTTCTTGTAGTTATTTTTTATATATTTGTGTACCTTCTCTGTATTCCTCTATTTCAAGCTTAGAATTGTATTCATTGTGTTAAAACATTCTGTTCAAATCTTAATTTGTAGTCAAATAGGCTCAATTTACTGGAGAAGTTAACATTAATTAGCAGAACTTTTCTTAAAATGTTCTTTCAAATTGAAAGGAGGAAATACCAAAGTTTTACCAAAACGCTTCCCTACTTTGTTTGTTGTCTTCCAAATGTCAGCTGTTATAGGAAAATTTTGTTTTGGGTATACTTAAGTTACTCAGTCTTATTTGTGTATAAGTATGCAGAGTGTGTTTTAAATACTGGGAATAGAATTTTGAGTAAACATGTATGTGCCATTGAAGTTCCCAGTTGTATTTAAGGCATATAATTGTAGCTTTAGTTTACTGTAGGCAACCCAGCTCAGTACAGGTCAGGGAGAGGAGGCAAAGCTCTGGTACCACTGACATATCAACCTCCTGGATATGATCACAAATAGAGAAAAATCCTACTACATGCACTTAGTGTTTGTACTTGTCGTCTACAATATGCAGCTCAGCTTACTGGAAAGCAGCTTGAAAAATACGTGCTTATTCTGTAAGGCTGCGAGACTGCACCAGTGAACAGCAAACTGTCATATCAGAACTTTTATTCAGGCTTTAGCTAGTTTGAAACATTTTTTGCTCCACAACCACATATTGGGTACCCTTCTTCATCTGATTATTGCATTTAAATTTTACTTTGTTTTTAAAGGCTGAAGCAGTAAGTTTTCTTTTAAGTTAGAAGCATTACAGGGGTGTTCCAGAAAAGGGGGAGAAATAGAAAAAATTTAAATTCTTAACTGTGTAAATTAAGGGCCTTATACTATACACCATTCTGTTTATTGGTTACCTATGATTGCTAACTGCAAATGAGACTAACTGTAGTTATTTTTATACATACTCTATAACAGTATGACATACATGTATTTGTTAATGTTAAATGAGTTTTCCTCTAATTTTTTGTGCATTTTCCCCCTTTTCCATGAAGGCCTTATCTCTTTGGAGCGGGGTGTTTTTCCATAAAAGCTCCATGGTGAGTTCCCGTTCAGTCCCGCATGCCTAATTCATTTGCTGTACTCTCAAAAAGTAACTCTGTTCTGTAGTTTTGTTTTCAGTTGCATGGCCTAATCACAGATAGATGCACCAAATTATTGGGTAATTGTAGATAAAACGTGAATGTTGATATTTAAGCTTTGGAAAAAAGTAGTTTTTTTGATTTTACTTCATTCCTTGTAAAATTTTTAAAAACCAAAATGTGTTTTGAAAAAGGAAAGTAGAAGATTACTTCTGTCATAATGCTGATGGCGCAGACAAGACTGACACCTGTGTTCAGAGCTTTAAATACTGCAGTGATAGGAATTCCTTACATATCATGCTTAATGTAGAGGAGTTAATTCATTTTGAAATGTAAACATACATAGTATAAAACAAAAATATCCTATTTAGTTTTACTGCATTTTATTAGTGCTAAAGGGACAACACTGAGTTCTGTTTTGAACAGCTTACTTATGGAATTACGTGATGAGGAAATATATACAGTGTTTCATATCAAAACTCATAAATGATTTATTGTGCCCCTACTGACCATAATTCAATTATTTAGTAATTTCTTTCATAGAAGTACATAGAATGTGGCATGGTCAGTCTTAGGCATACTGACCATTTGGAAGTAAGTTGAATGTATTTCATACTTTCATTTAATATGTGAATTATAATCCATTAATAATGATATAAAGTGTTTTAATGGTTAGGAATCAGGACTCCAGAATCAGACTACCTGTGCCTTAAATTCCAAAGTTACATGATCTTGGATAACTTTAAAAAACTTTTTGTTTCTTGCTTTTCTTGTTTATTAAATGAAATTGGTAGAAACATCTACCTTGTTGGTCATTGTTAGGATTCAATGAATTGATATACATTCACATTTCAGAATATAATAACCCTGACTACAAATAGGAACCTCAATAAATGGTAGCTGCTACTAGTAGTGCCTCTTGCCGAGTTTGAGGAGTAAATACCATGTTTGGAAACATGCTTTTAAAATTAAAATGTATTACTTGCTTTTAGGAACATATAAACCAAAAGGAACTTGTAAGACATGTAGGGTATATAATTTTTTCTAAATTAGGAAATCTAAAAGACTCCTGCACAGTGGTTCTCATAACAGTGAGTAGGAATTGTTCTTTGTGGCATCTTATACTGGAAACAATATTATATTTTCTCTCATGAACAAAGAGAAATTTAAATACTTCTTTAAAATTGATTATTATTTTGCCCAGTATATTTTCAGTGTTCAAATGCCAGCAGAAATTCTGGAATTCTCATTATCATATAAGAATAGGTGATGTAAATAGCTGTAACGTACTCCTTGAAATGCAGCAGCATAACTAGACCAGAGCGTGCAAAACTGTGCTTAGCAGTTCCAGTGCACTCAGGAGTGTAAATCTTCTGAAAGTCTATCTTTATTCTTTTTGTTAAACAGATTTCTTCTAAAAACAAGTAAGATATATGGACCTTACTTTTATAAACTTATAGTGAGTAGTGAATTTTAAATGCTACATTCAACATATGACAGAGTTTCTTTGTATACTGAATTTACAATTAAATTCCACGTTAGGAGAAATTCCTCATTCTGAGTACAAAGAAAAGAACTTTAGTATGTTAATAAAAATTGAAGTTTTCACATAGGACTAAAGATGCTGTAACAAATGTTGTATGTTAAATAAGAAAGGTCCATTCCCCAACAGCTTATGTGCTCCTCACGTTTAAGCAAAAGCACTTGTCAACCAGAAATGATTTGAGGTTGAAACAAGATTAAAAGAGCCAGATTAAAGAGAGGGATATATGAAATATAGTAGACTTTTAAATCATTGCCTGTCTTTTAGAAGACGGCTTTGTGGTTTGTTTGATGCCATCGTTAGCTCACAAGAAACTCGTTTTTAGTCACTTATACTAGACTAAAAGATCCTCCTTTAAAATATGTTACGTTTCCAGGGGTGCATGTTTTTCCCATTAGCTCTTAATGAAACCTCAAATTAAGGCAGCAAAATGAATATAAATTTGACAACTTCTTCCATGTTGTTTGTAAGAGCTCCTTTGTTTTAATAGTTTTTGATATTTTTCTATTCAAGTTGAGAATGTTTTTATTTACTGTTCTGAAATAAAAAGTTATGCTAAATAAACATTTATAGCACTTCAGTTGTAGGTTAATATATGTATTTTGGATACAAATGCAATTTGTAATTTCCCTTAAAGTATAAATTTCTTTTTTTTATAAGTTTCAAGTTGCAGCATTTGTATTTAGTTAAGAGTTTGCTTTTGGTATGTCACAGTTTCTATTCATTCTTTATTCTTCACTAATGGGGTTTGGTTCTGTAAATTCATGCCGTCTCAGAGGAGACAGTTTTAAAACAGTGTCTTTCTCTTTGATATCAGAAGAGTTTGTTGGAAAGTGAACTGTGCAGGCTGTCCTGGATCCTGTAGTCAGTTTAGATGTAGTGTTCGGCATCATCTAGATCAGTGGTGGCGAATCTGTGGCACGGGTGCCACAGCTGGCTGTCCCCTTCACCACCCTAGGTTACCCTTTGATTTTGAAGGACTTCATGAAATGTGAAAGGTTTGCATGTGAACATACTTATGTAACCATGGAAGTTTAAGAGAAACGAACTAGTGTGAATTTGTAAAAGTTTTGATTTCAGCATTACCAATGTATATGTAGTATTATGTAAATTGATTTTGAAAAATACATGTTTACACATAAGGGGTAGATAGGAAATAGTTCATATGAAAGTATATTTCATACTTCATTGTTATATTATTAAAGATTAAATTTAAAGAGGTTATAATTTATAATATCAAATTATATTTAAAGTTTTAAATAGCACTCCCTAAAGTGCTTGATGGTAATATAAATAGTTCATTTGGTCTTTGGGAGACTGTTTTAAAATTTTAGTTTTTTAATGGCAAGATTTATATGGAGAGTCAATTTCTTATTATTTTATGTAAATAGGTTAGACCTTTAAGAATAGTTTGTGACAAAACAGAGTAAACTTATGTGGATTAGTAATGTTTGTCATTATTTAACATAAAGTATTTCCAGTTCTCTCTCCAAGGCCTTATTTTAGAAAATAAAATTGAGAGTGAGAGAAACCTTATAAATTTCTTTTGAAAGTTTAATCATAGGGAAAGAATATAAAGGGAATAATTTGACTGAAAACCGTTACACAGCCTATAATTCTTAAGTTAATGTTGTGTGCTACTTTTAAACTGACACATTGACTGTTCACCAGTGTTTCTGAAAAGGAATGAATTGGTGCGTCTATCTCATGTTAGTTCTTCCATGCTTGTGTCCTCCTCACCACAGCACCAGGCGACATTACTGCCATCATGTCACCCACATGTACACCGCATACGTGCTATCCTGGGGTACGTAGTAAAATGTCCAGGTGGAGATCATTGTCTTGTATGTTTTAAGAAGGTATCAGGGTTCTTCTTTCCATCTGCAGTTGAATGTGAAGAAAAAACAGGCAAGAAATTCAGTATGTTGACCTGACTGAATAACGTAATGCAATAAAAGCTAAATGGAGAAAGAAGGGAGCTTCAATAACCTATATAGATATTTTTGAAATCCCAGGGATGTGTATATCTCTACACTTATTTTGGCAGTAATTCAAATTCTGTTGAATATTAAGCCTTTTTTCAAAAAATGACAGTTTAACTCTTGATTTTTAATTTAACACCTTATTTGTTTATTTTTGTTTATTTTTATTCCTATTTTATCATATTAAGTTTTGTATTTGACTTAGTAAATCTGTTGTTTTTATGATCATCATTATTTTTCTTGGTATAGTGAATGTAGGATTCAGTCCATTTTTTTTAAGGTTTTGCCCAAAGTGAAACTAAATTTGCAAAGAAAATTGAGTATAAGGTTATTTATAAAACATGAAAGAGAGCAAACAAGCAGGAGAGTCTATCAGAATTATTAGAAATTTTTTTCATCTGTGACCATTTAAAAAAATGAGTGAATCCACATAATCCAATTAAACTTCTTGGCACCAGTATAAATTAAAATAATTACTTTTATACCATTATATTATCAGTTTAACAAATGAATAAAAAGAAAGGACCTTGAAATACTCAAAGGAATTCTGAGTCTATGTTCTTTAATAGGATTTGTTGCAAACTTTTTCACAGAAGGAGAGATGAGAGCACGAAAGGAAAAGTTAACATTAGAGTGCTTTCCTAGAAGAGTTGTGTCACCAACCTGTAAATTTGCGTGATTTACAAGGATACCCCTTTTCTCTTCCATTCACATGTATCTCGTTTTTCAGTTTTATCTCTATCAAAAAAACGATGCTTTGCAATAGAAATATTCTGTATCATGCTGGAAAGGCTCATACATGGTGTGCCACTTATATTAATAGAAAAGCCGTTCTGCTTCACCCAGACATTCCCAGACACTGTCTTTTTATAACAAGATAAAGGACAAACTGAGCCACACTTCAAATTTCCAACTTTGGATAGATCATGGAGAAAAATCTTGTTAATGACATTCTTTTCATTTGGTTATTTTTCCTTTTTATTCCTCTGTAAGTCTTATATTATGCATGCACGTAGTCTTGTTTCTATTTTGCCTAAATATCCAAATCATTCCGGATGTAGACTGAGGACAGAAATAACTTGATATGAATGTATTTATCCAATATGCCACACCCCTGTAATACAGAAACTGTGACTTGTGGTGGATAGCAAGTTATTTTGAGGAATGTAAACTCTTGACTCCTTATTAAACCTGATTTTCTACTGAGGACATTAAGGCTCTGTCAGTGAAAAAAAGAAATGATGAAATGTAAGAATAAAACTGACAGTTCTTTCCATAAATTAAGCATATTTTTATCAATACCTATGTATTCTCTGCAGAAGATAGTGAGCTTATATAAAATGGCTCTGTGTTGATGTTTTTCATTTCTGTGTTTCAAAATTAAATTATGTGTAATTTATAGAAGTTTAACATATTTTAGCTTTTGACACAGGGTTATTAGACTATAAGCTAATAAGCATATATAGTGTCCAAACACTTACTGAGGTCTTACCATTTTTCTGTTCTCTGTGGTTACATGATGAACAGCTAGCCAGGTACCAGTTGTTTTAATATCTTCTTATAGGAATACTTTAGAGGAACCGTATTTTTTCTCAAGAAATGGCATATTCACTTTTTACCACTTGATTTAAAAACAACAGCAAAAATCACATCTAGTAATTTGCAAAGATCTTTGAACTTGTCTCTGTGAAGCTTATTTCTACATTGTAGTATCATTGTTCCTAGATGGTAATTTTAGGAAAAGCACATTCTCACACAATTGCAAACACCTTTCAAAAATTTTTTCATGGTTTCTTCTTTCTGGTTCCTCCTCAGCCTCTGAAAACCCCAAAGATTAAAAATGACCAAACTGGTACCACAGATGCTAGTTACAGGAACTTTTCTACTCAGTAAAATCACAGCGAAGTGATAAAAATTTTTTTCAAGAAAGCATACACTGTAAAGTAGCGTAACACAGTTCTGATTCCAGTGACCCAGGTACCAGGAGAACTTGTGCTCTTGTTGAGGCACAGGGTGGAGGGGCCTCTTTTCTGGAGGTAGCGGGTGAGGTTGTGGCAGATGAAACTGTGAAAAGGGAACCTGGAGGGCCACGTTCGTTTCTTCACAGAAATGTAAAAGAGGAAAAGGACTATTAACTTTTTCCTCTTTTCACTGGAAGTCTTCCTGTGACTGTTTTTTAGGCCTGCATGTGATTTGTTTGGGAAATGAGGTGAAGTTCTGGAAAGGAGATGCTTTTTCATACATAGAAATGTGCATTGCCAAGGATTTTGTTCAAAGAGGGAGACCAGTTGGAACCAATCATGTAGCATCTGATCCAGACTTTTAGTTCTTTTTAGAGGAAAGGTGTCAAAGCAGAAGCCTTCAGAATGAAGCCACGTGAAAGACTATTTGAATCTTCATAGGAAATGGGAGCTAGGTTACCAAGGCAAAATCTGATTTTCTAAAAGTTAGGTGAAGGCTGTCAGCTTTATAGACAAGCAGTGATATTTGTTGAGTACAGTGATGTAGGAAACTACCTCCCTGGGAGCTTTACTTTCTTTATGTCATATAGTTGTCTTCTAACTTAAGAATCTCCTAGAGGGTTTGTTAAAAAATACTTTGATGGGCTTCAAACCCCAAATGTGATGGGACCTGGCCAGTATTTATTTGCCTGTAAATTTCAGAAGTTACTAAGAATTATTACTAGTTAGGGATAAAAATTTAGAAACACATAATCTTTAAGATAACTATAAGGTAGGCATTGTTATTTGTATTTTATATATTAGTAATCTGAGATTTGAGAGGTTAAACAAGTTAACAAAAAAATCATACACCTAATAAATGGCAGCCTTGGGGCTCAAATTGAGGTTTCTTCCTGATTCTAGAAATCTCTTTCTATCTCAGCATATTCTATTAAAAGATAAAGGGATAAAGTCAAGAGAGCATAAGAAGATAGAAATCAGCATGTGATGGTGCTCACCTATAACCCTATCTGCTTAGGAGGCTGAGGCAGAAGTATTGCAAATATTGCAAATTGGAGCCCAGCGCAGCAACTTAGGAAGGTTCTGTATCAAAATAAAGAGGACTAGAAATGTGATTCAGTAGTAAAGTGCTTGCCTAGTATGTGTGCGGCCCTCGATTTGTTCTGAAACCACGCACGCACATACATGCTAAAAATCATGTTTTTACGTTGGAGACTTTCCTGCAGAGCTGGAACATCGGAGTTGTAGCATTCATTGTGTCCCATTAAAGCTGTGATCCTTACCACTGCACATTAAGCCTGTTTTTCTGGTCTCTGAATTCCAGCAAGTAATTTATCTGAGGTGGTGAGTAAAAATTGCTGCGACTGAGTCAGGCATGATGGTGCATGCCTACAATCTCAGCACTTGGGGGGCTAAATCAGGAGCATTGTTATGAGTTCAGGGCCACCCCAGGCTACATAGTAAGATCAACTATGTAGCAAGACTCTGTGTCAAAAAAACCAAACCAAAATAGAATAAAATTTAAAAGTCTAAAAAGATCAGAAATAATAGGATTTGAAAGGAGATGAAATACTAGTATTTGAGGTTTTGAAAAATTTTTGGTGGAGAATAAATAGGAAAGCAAGTCCTTTTTAATGAAAGACATTTGAAATATCAACAGTTCTAAATGTGTCCTCAAACGTGGAAAAAACAGAAGAGATTTATGTTAGAGAGGCTATCAGTTTTGGTATCTGCCTTGGCTCTTTCCCCAAACAGAAATACATTATTGTCACAAATCCAAGAAGAAAAAGGACTGGAAGGCTATTGAATATAATTCAGTAGGTTATTAGATCTTTTCTAGATTGTCTAACTCGAGATAGCACTGTACTGAGGGTATTTTCAAAGTTTCTTTCTATATCATTTCATTTTCATACGTGCTATCTCCATTTGTTGTATTGTTATCCCTGTGTCTTATATATCAAAATGAAATGATAGCCCATTTATTATTGGAAGATGTTTAATACTGATAGTTTTGCTCCATTTAAAAATCTGCAGGGAAATGTTATCCACATGAAAAGACGTAACTTTGATTTCACCAATAAATTCTTCAAAAAGTGTTTTTGTTTTGTTTTGAGAAGGGGTCTTGTTATATTGACGAGGGTGGCTTGAAATCCTGGGATCACATACTCAGTGATGTTTATTACGCTTCCTCAGCCTCCTGAGTAGCTGCAACTATTGATGCACCCCTCGGTACCTAGCTAAGAATTTTGTTTTTATTGGTCTTATATAAGCTCTCTGGTCCAGATGTTGGAACTGTGAGTAATGTCAGTTTTGCTGCAGAACAAGTCTCACACCACCATGTATGCCATACAATGCATGTCCTTTTGTAGCATTTAAACATGAGGTGGAACTGAAAGGAAAACCATTCTCTAGAGGACTGCCATTTCATCCGGGTAATTTTTTTAACTGTCCTTTTATTTTTTTTTAAGCAAAGTTAAACCACCACCACAAATTTCACCCAGCAAATCAGTAGGCGGAGAATTTTGTGTGGCTGCTACATTTGGGACATCCAGGTCATGGTTTGCAAATAATGCAGGTCTGAAAAGGGAAAAAGGTATGTATTTTTTTCTGAAGCTCAAATTTGCCATTTGTAATTATTCCTTCTTAATGAAAATCTTGTACCAAATAGTCTTTTTAGTTTTTACTAATAGAAAAAAATCAATTAGCGTGTCTCTCCTCAACTACTCAAACCTAGTCAAGAAGAAAAATTATCATCTCACATAAATGTGAATTCCCCACTGACTGATTTTATTTTGTTTTGTTGGTGATAGTGAACAGGTGATCTCAGTCCTATTAACGCTGTAATATTCATTCTATAACTTTTACATTTTTACAAGCTAATTTCATACCAATGTCCTTGAAAGTATGGAGAGGAAAATCCTTGTTATGCCTACTTTAGAGATAAAAAATTTGAGACCATTGTAAATAGCTTGGCTAAAAAGTCAGTTGAGTATTGTAGGTGATGAAATTAGTTTGAAGCTATATTTTCTCATGTTAAATCTTAAAACAAAGCAGTAACAACTGTGCTGCTTTTTTGTTTGTTTGTTTTTTGGTACTGAGGATCAAACTCACGACCTCGTGCTTACCAGACAAGCGCTTGAGCTGCTGAGCTAAATCCCCAGCCTTGTGCTGTGTGTTTTTTTAAACATGATGGAAAAGCCTGTCACTGAGAATTAAGTGAACTTTCATTGTTACTGTTGCTCCTTTGAATTGATAAAGTTATTAAGTTTTTAATTCTTGATCACTCTAGCCAATACCTACAATGTTTGTATAATTAATGTTTTAGTATATGATTCCTTATGTCTATGTATGGAAGAGAATGACTACATTCATTAACAAAGTATGTAATTCTGAATGTTAGGATTTCTCATTACTATTTTAGTATTATTGAATTAGGTCACAGATTGAGTTGCCACTAGAGGGTACTTTTGGTGAGTTCCAGAGTCTGTGTTGTTCTTGGCAAAATGGCTCTCCTTTACGCTCAGTACTGCCAGACACAGCCTTTCCCATGTCATTGCCATTCAGTGACCCTTTTTCTAGTAACAGGATCTCAGGAACAACAGGCTCTTACCTAAGTGGGATAGAACACTGTAAAGTATGTCAGCCTTCCATGTCCTTATCCCATCTTTATTTTTTTGTTACCTCCTTAGGTTTAGTGATGCTATCGAAGGGACTTTTGTTACTCGTTAAAACCTTCTGTGAAGCTCAATTTCAGTGCTTCTCTCTTCTGTTCTAATTACCCTTTTAACTTGCTACTCTTTTATGTTCCACTCACTGGTCATTAGCCATTTTCTCAAATCAGCTGTAATTGATTCTCCTGACACGGAGATAAGATGACCCACCCAGCATTCAGGAGTGGTTTTTTTTTAAATGTTCCTTGGTTTACTGTAAAACCTGATATTGAGCACTAAACCTGTTTTGCTAGTGAGTACATGTGTATTTCTTATAAAGTCATTTGATTAGATTCATATTTATTACCTGACTTCTCAAAGTATAGCTGACCTCCATTTACTCTGGTAGCCAGTGCTCCGGTTGAGAGAAAAGAAGCTTGAGTGAGGACGATGTATGTGTATGTATGTTTTTAAAACACTTTGTCTCTTCCAGCACTTTCAGGTTCACAGCAAAATTGAGACAAATGTGCAGAGAATTTCTGTCTCCCTCCTGTACCAGCACGTGTATAACTTCCTTCATTATTAACATCCCCATCAGAGTGGTAGATTTGTTTCAAGTGATGAGCCTGTATTGACACAGCATGTATTTTTGTTTTCATTCAGTAATTGAGGCTTTAAACTTAGTTTTTTGAGAAAAAGTAGCTGAGGTGTTTGCCTGATGTAGGCCTCATGTAGTTCGGATTGTTTATCCAGTGTATGGGTCGCCCCTTTTCAGATAGTCCCTCCTTGTTCCCTCTGATACCATTCATTTCCATAATGGGGACAAATTACGTGGTAGACAAACAGAAAATAGTGTAAAATATTGTCAACCATATTAAAACTTTGAGCATGTTTATGTAATTCTTTAAATAATTGCTTATCATTTGAAAATACTGTGATAGCATAGAGATTGTCACATTAATTAGCATCACTTAATAGGAAGCAACCTTTAGGCAAGGATTAGGCACAATGTGACAAAGTTCCCATCTTTTCATTTCATGCTGAAGAGCAGAATGATGGTCAATAATTTGTAAAAAAAGAAAAAGAAGAAAAGAAAAGGAAAGAAAGAAAATGCCTTGCTTATTGTGTTGTTTTCTGTGCCGTCACCACACATCCAGGTCTTGTTTCTCTGTTTGTAGATCAGTCCAAGCAGGTTGTCGTTGAGTCTCTCTACATTATCAGTTGCTATGGAACCTTGGTGGAGCACATGATGGAGCCCCGACCCCTCAGCACTGCCCCCAAGATTAGTGATGACACCCCACTGGAAATGGTGACATCCCCTAGAGCCAGCTGGACGCTGGTTAGGTAATGCCTTCTTTTTTTCTTTCTTTTTAAAAACAGCTTTATTGATGTCTGAATGATTATAAATGTTCCATCTGAAAGTTTTGGCAAGTACTTGCAGCTCTAAAGTTATCACAGTTAATATGATAAATGCAGTTATCTTTTTTAAATGTGTGTTTGCCACATTGTAATCTCCTTTTTAGCCCCTCTTTGTCGTAGAATTATGTACAAATGGAATCATATATATGTACTTTTTTGTCTGACTTCTTTCATCTAGCAAAACAATGTAGTTTATTACTTCATCATTTGACATATAATTTAGATGCAATGACACCCAACCACTGGAAGTGACTTTTCATGGGAGGGTACCCATTACTCCAGCAGCGTTCATCACCAGATGAAATCCTGTGCCAGTCACTCTCCATCTTCCCCTAACTCTTCACCTGTAATCATCCACCAGTTTGCATTCTGTCTCTAGAGTTACCTGCTCTAGTAATTACATAGTAACAGAAATGCCGCCTTTGGTATCTGGCTTTTTTCACTCCACATGCTTTCAGAAGGACCATCTGTGTTGGTGCCATGAATCAGAACATAATTACTTTTCATAACCAAGCGGTACTCCTTGATATGGATATACCACGTTTTGTTTATCCATTTATTAGTTGGTGGACATTTCCACTTTTTAACTCTCATCAATAATGTTACAGACTTTTGTGTATGGAATTTGGCCTTTTGTATATATGTTACAGAATTCTTCCAGAATTCCACTGTCTCTTTGCATGTTGGTGTGGTCTTTTCTTGGACTTGTGCTTTCCCCATTTATAGTTTCATGCTCACTGAGTATAGTGAGTAGCGTTGAGATTTCCATTAAGGGGAGTAGAAACTAATATAAATAGATTTGAAGGTTTCCTTTAAAATGATTCTCCAGGATACAATGGTTAAGCACTGTATAAATGTTTATTAAGAATCAAAGGCTATCTCAAAAAAGTACATAATGATTAGAATCTTTGTAACATATCACAGACAGGGAGAAATGAACCCTGAAATAAAACCTGCTCAATATAGTGCATTGTCCAGGAGACAAAAATTGCTTCTGACATGTATGGAAGGAAAAAGACAAAAATGGATATGAAAATGATCCTTCTCCTTCTGACATTTTAAAATATTCTTGTATTGATTTTTGGAGGCTCCAGCGTTCTTTACTACTACTTTAGTAAGTAGTAAATAATGGACAGATCTGATCAATATCTGATTTATCAAGCTTACATAGAACTGGGCAGATCTAATTAAAATTACTGCAGTATCACTGTGGAAATAGTAGCTTATTTTGGAAATCAGATGCTAATTAGATGTATAATATATCATCCATTTTCACAGCTGTGTTTTATTTTTATCATTTTTACCTGCCTCATCTCATTTTAAAATGTACACCTATTCTTTGAATGGAGAAGTCTAATACTGGTTTAAAAATTACATAAGTAGAACTACTTAGCTATGGCATTGAATTCTATACTTTCTATTCTGTCTTTTCAACATCTTGTCTATCTAATAGGAGGTTATTCCTATTAAGGTAATATTGACTCCATGTGTGTTCATCAAACAACACGTGGCCATTTTTTATTGTTTTTTTAAAAATAGATGATCTTGTGTTTCAGCACATTCATTTTAATGATTACAAGTTCATTTTAATGAACAGAAAAATAGTGTGAGTTTTTATCAGTGTCTATAAGTGATGACAGTTGTGGTGATTTACATCCCATCTATTAAACTTTAAATATTAACATTCTTCTGCTGATTTCATAGAACGCCTCAATGGAACGAATTGCAACCACCATTTAATGCAAACCACCCTCTTCTCCTCGCTGCAGATGCAGTGCAGTATTATCAGTTCCTGCTTGCTGGTGGTGAGTTATTCTGGTTGTTTCTTCTTCTGTATGGGCTTTTCTGATTTTGTCTTCAAGTGCTGACTTTTAAGCATATGTGCATATTACCATTGGTTTATAGGCCATAGTCCTTGGATAATCTGACTGAGGCAAGTTAAGATATTTAATAAAACTATACTCCATGCCTTAGGGCATGTGAAGTGTGTCTCTAATGGCAGCAGGTAAGTTGATGGGGAATATTTGGTGGCTTTAGAAAAAAAAACCTGACAACTCAGAACTACTGGGATATAATAAGCCATTTCATAAAGCTTTGAATCTGTCTCTCAGAGGCAAAAAAAAAAAAAAAAATTAAACACTTTTCGTTGTGAAAACTGTCAGCAGATTTTTCTTTTTGTAAAATTTTACTTGCAATAATGGAGTAATGATTTCAACTCCATTGCCCCTCTGTGCTGGGCCTCAGCACACTAGCAAATGGTCTATGACTGAGCTGCTCTTTTGTTTACTTACTTTTGTGTCTGAACTCTAACATCTGTAAAGACAGAACAGGATTCATCAGGCTTGGTATATAGATAGCCCCCTAACCCCGCCCTTTTTTTCGTGGGAGGCATGAAAAGACAATTTAATATTTATTATCCAGTTTGTGTTCATAGAATTAAAAATTCTTTACAATTATATTTCAATTTTTTAGAATGGACTGAATCCTAATTTAACTTGATGGCTCTTGAGTACTGCATGTCATTAAGAATCTTCCCAGAAATCAACATTGACATGTTTTTAATAGAGTTTTCTTATATTCAAATTATTATGTTGCCTAGTATATTATAAAGAATGAATTAAAATAGAACTAGAAACATTTTACTTCATTTTTATAATGTGTTACATATTGTGCTAGAATCTGAAAGATATTACCAACTTTGGTCTACAGTTATGAAATTCCACTCCTATAATAAGTAGTTGGCAGTTTGGTACAGTGCGTAACCTAATGCTTTTTATAGTACATGTTCGTCAAGTGCCTACTGTGTGTCAGGCACTTGAAATTTAAGGCGAGTAATACATTGCTGCTACTCACCTTCAAATTTGGGAGATAGACCTTTAATGAATATGTGTAGGAAACTATAGACGCAGTGCTCTGACTTGCCAAAGGCCTCACTGAGGGGTACAATGTCAGTGCTTTTTAAATTTGTCCAAGAAGTCTACAGCCATGCCACCCCGGATCTCGTCTGAATTTAAGAAGCAGAGTACATAAGTATATAAAAATTCTTATTTTCTAGGTTTTCAAAGATACAGTTAACTTACATATAAACTGAGAAAACCATGACATCAATACATGATATTAAAAAATCATGGGTACATTCTCAGTTACCTTTCAAAGGTGACAAAAATAACTAATTGTTAAATTAAGCATAGTTGACTCATTATATATATGGTTATCGTTGGTTTGATACCTTCTCTCTCTGTTTAGTAGAAAAACAGTAAGTTTGAACTATTTAAAAAGATATTAAGCCGTAAAAAGCTCTGTATGTCTTAAGTTTTTCTACCGGTTAAAGTGGTTCATATTACTTGATTTTAGGTAGCTTTAGTCTAGGATGCCTTAGGTACATCCTTTAAGAACCTCTGCTGTCTGTAGTATTAAGCCATCAGATATTTTCACTACAGAATAAGATTTTATTGGCTTTCATTAAGTAATTTGGAGGTGCAGGGTACTGGAAGCCAGGGCCAAGGCATTCCACATGCTAAGTATTCTGCATTCCTGACCCCATAGCATTGTATTTTAGAAAGACAACTCTTGGGGCAGCCTTGCAGCAGGAAGATCAGAGGGAGGGAGTGGAAGCTAGGTGATTCGAGAACAAGAAGAAAGCTTTAATTAAGAGAAGGAATTGGATTGAGGGTCCTGACTATGCCAGTGTATTAGATAACTGAAGCTATTAAGTAATGCAGATACGGAGATTTGGGTCAAAAGAATACTTGCCTGGAATACCATTGGTTAAAGCAGTACTTCACCTGCAGATCTGCAAGCTCTGGTGTCAGTTGGAAGCCTTTATTATTGTCTAGCTTTCTTTTCTCATCCCTTCATTGAAAAGTATTCATTTGGAAAGGTATTCTACTTCTTAAAAAGAAGCATACTAAACCTATACCAAAACTTTCTCTCTCTCTCTTTTTCTTTTTTTTACTCATCCATATTAAAATTTATCTCTTGACTAAGAATGTCACTCACTGGTAGGGTGCTTGCCTAGCATGTGCAAAACGCTGGGTTCAATCTCCAGTATTATCCAGAACAAAGAAGCAAACAAATAAAACAGAGAAGAAAGAAAGGAAGGAAGAAAGAAAAATCGGTCACCTATTAATTCTCAACTTGAAGACCTTCATAAATACCTTTTTAAAATTACTTTTATGTTCTAGAACTGTGATGCAAGCTTTACAAATGTTGCATGCATTTTTGGTTCTTGTATTTGGATGTTGGATCAAGTAAAGCCAACTTCTACAAACTCCGGAAATTATAATAATAGTAGACAAAGAATAATGTAAATGGAAATAGGAAAGAGATTTTTGTCTGGGGGAGAAAAGAGTAGGAGAGCAGGATGTTTAACAAGGAATCCCCTACTCCCATTCTAGTCCTATAATCATAGTAAATACACTATTAGTGGATAAACAGAGTTCTGCATATGAGGCAGAAGGATGACTGGTGGGAGAAAGAAAGGGAAAGGTACCCCAAACATCAAAGACTTCCTACCCACTTTTAAAGCGAAATCAGTTAAAAAAAAAAAAAAAACAACTTCAAAATTCTGTATTCCTACCTGTAGCAGCTAACTGTTTCTTTGTATGATACTTGAATAGAATGAACAAAAGTGAGAAATGCTGGTATTTATTCAGTAGATTTTTGTTAAATGAGATGATGGTGGAATAGCCCATACAGAAATCACAATGGCTGGGCCTGGTGGCATATGCCTGTAATCCCAGCACTCGGGAGTCTGAAGCAAGAGGGTCACTATAAATTTGAGGCCAGCCTGGGCCAGGCTGAACTGCAGAAACTGTCTCAAAAAGGAAAAAAAAAATGATGAAAGAAAGAACTCATAACTGAAGCAGAGATGATTTCCTTGTTGTTCTGTTGAATGATACAAAATTGCCTTTTTTTTTTTTTTTTTTTTTTTTTTTTTGGTACTAGGAATTGAACTCATGACCTTGACCTTGCCAGGCAGGTGCTTGTGTCACTGAGCTAAATCTCTGGCCAAAATTGCTATTATTAATTAGATGAAAAGTCTAGTATTTGTAATTGACTAGTTGGCTAGATAGTTTATATATGAAAACTGAATGCACGGATGGCAATCTAATGTATCTGTTTAACACAGTAAAGATAAAAGTCAAGAATCTGTACTCCAAGTTTCCCTTGGATATAAATTTTTAGTGGAATTGTTAAAAAAAATTCCTGGTTTTTAATGTTAACACTATATTTTACTTAGAAAATAAAGGTTACATACTATAATTACCTTTTGTAATAAAGTCACTTTACTGTAGTGTACTCCATTGCCAAAAACAAAGCTAAACCTTTTAATGGACTAATAAATATCAATCAGTTTTGAATGTGAACCCAAAGTGGATAATAATTTTTCTTTAGTCTACTCTTGATCTTCCAAATTATAAATTAAAAGCAGAACTTAACTGAGTTGATTTGGAGAAACTTTATTTAGAAAAAGAATATACTGTCTTTCTTCCTTTTCTTTCAGGTAATTTGGCCAGAGTAGTGTTTTTAAATTGCTTACATTGACTGTTTTTAGGGGAGTGAGTGTTGGACTTTGGATTTTGTCCAAAATAATCACTAGATATGAGATCCCATGTGAATCTGTGGTTCACAGAAGAAATCATAAGGGAGGTTAGACATTATTTTGAATTGAGTAAAGTTCATACCGTATGAATATTAGAATGTTACACAATTTTAAACAGTAGGTTTAGCTGTTCATACATGCAGCACTTTGACTCTCAAGGAAATTGTGGCAAATGCTGTCACAAAATTATGGGAACAGATCAGTGGTGACCAGGGATTTAGGTGCAGGATGGGGAAGAGAGGGAGGATGTGCCCTTTCAAGGCAGAACTTTGTGGCGAAGGAGCAGTTTCATAGCCTGACTCTGGTGCGGGTTACACACATTTATACATGTGATAAAACAGAATCAGCTCCCTCACACGAATGGATTTGTTTATAAAGCTATGTATATAAAAATAGTCATCTGAGTAAAGTTTTTGAATTATGTCAGTGACAATTTCCTAGTTCTTCAAAAGGTAATGGGTATACCAAATACCACTGCACTGTTTCACAGATGCTTATGCCTCAGTATTCACCTCCAAATAAAAATTTAAAGAATAAAAATTGCGGAATGACATTACAGTAGGACTCAATAGCTATTTCTAGAACTCACTAACCTTTTTAGGTAAGAGAAGGATCTGAAATTCCTGACCTCAGCTTTCACACTGAGAATCAAGGAAAAGTAAAATAAATTAAAGCAAAATAAGGAAAATAAATGATAAAGATCAGAATGCAAATTGATTAAATTAGAAATATAAAAACAATACAAAAAATCATTCAAGGTATAGTGTGGTTTTTTCCTAACTGGGGTTTGTGACATTTGTGGGTCGTGGGTTTATAGTTTTCTTCAAATTTGACAATTTCCATCAAGTTCTACTTTTAAATATTTCTTCCGTTTCTTTCCGTCTTTTGACTCCAGTTATGTTGACCACTGGATAATTGTCTTGCTCACTGAATTAATGTTCCTTTTCTCTTAGTCTTATTTTCTTCTATTTTTGTGTCATTTTTAATTTTTTTTTTTTTGAGACAAGATCTTGCTATGTGGCCCAGGCTGGCCTCAAATCCCAGCAATGCTCTGGGATTACAGGCATGCGCCACCGTGCCCAGCCCTAATTCTTTATTTTTAAATATACTAATTCTTACTTGCTTCATTCACATCATCTTTTTCCAAAGTCAGCTATTTTGTCTCCAGAAGTTCTATTTGGGTCCTTTTTAATAACTTCC